AGTCGGACAGTGTCGTTGACAGCTATTAATTAGTGTCAAATTCTAGTTATATCTATATCTAACAGACTAACCGTAAGTACAGAAGTATAACAGTGAAGAGTGGTCGTGATTTCGTTGTGCGAAGCTATTGACCAACTTGTAGTCACAGTTTGAAAAGTCGATGACTGCTGTTACAGTCAGTAAGGGTTGAAGGCTACAAATCGACAGCAAAAGGTGGCACGATGAAGTCTCTAAAAGATGATAAACGGTGAATGCTGCGTGTTTGTTCGGTTAGTGAACAGAAAAATATCGAAAAGAACATAAGAAAACAAGAGTGTCACTCTGGACTCATGTCAATGATACCCGTGAAAAACGCTGTCAGTGTTGGGATAGAGGCGACAATATCGTTTTCAGTTTGTGGGAGATTCGCTCGACTGCATAAACTGATGATTCGCGCGAATGATATTGTCGTCAGACAACCAATTGAACTGGACAGGTTGTAAATCGTCGAGTAGTTGAACAGCCGATTGATGTACCGGAATCATCTGTTAAATAACAGCCACGATGAAACAATACTTCATAAAATGAAGTACGACATCGAAGTAGAACAACTACAATAGTTCAGATGTGTTACAATGTCAAGTCTAAATAACATCGTTCTTACGTATACTGACAGTTGCACTGAACGTTCGCTTAGGTATGATTAGCGTAACAGTTGGATGTGTGAATAAAAACATATACGAAAACTATGGTTGGGTTCGTGGAGAATTTTCGAGGACGTTTAGATATTTTCCAAACCCGTATCGCATGTAAATAAACCGAAAATAGAATTAAAATGACTGTTGTGTAATAAGGAAATCGAGCCATGATTTACCGTGTGAATTATTAGCAAATACAAGGGGTATAATAAACATTAATTAAAATGGTAACCACCAATGTAACTAAGGTTTAGAGGGTCCAGGTAACGTGGCCATTTCGTAAAAGGCTGATACAAAGAGCTTATTACCTAGCGTTAAGTGACATATTAAGTACGACATGTGTACTTGGGACATGGACTAAGCGTGCTCGTGTACATGCAATATGTTTTACCACAGTATGTCGACTAACGAGTCATAAATGTACATGATTTCGACTAAAACTTGACGGCAGTGACAGAATATATGACTAGTTTACGTGAAAGCAACTACGAAATGTTATCACGCATCATAAATATAGTACGAAATAATCTAATGAAATTATGAAACTCGCCTGGGTTACTCTTGCCTCTAAGTAATGAAGATATGAAGTAGGCAGTAGTTTGAATCTGGATTATGTACGAGGTACTGTTGATTAAATTTTTCGATTAACACAGCGTTGTAGACTAACGAACAGTCTAAACGAGATCTAAGATCGCAGGAAATTTATAGTTCAAACTCACCGTGAATTTCTAGCATTCGTATCCTCTGTTTGGCCATGGAACTCAGCAATTGGAAATTAGGCAGGCAGTGGTAAAAAAAGCAGAACATTCTAGTGGATAGTGGTTAAGCAGAAAGATGAATTTATAGTCGATAGTTAATCTTGTCTTATTTATACCAGTGGATAAGGTACAAAGAGATATGCGTTCGTGTTGCCTTGTGGCTATACTCACGAGTGGTTGATATTTTAACAGACATATTATACAGGAGCATTTACATGCTGCTAATGCTTGTTAAAGAACCACGATAGCCGATTATAATCGTAGTTGATTGGTTAGTTCTGTCGATTGAACGAATTATCTAGGTTTAAATGCTAATCAACATTGACATGAAGCAACGAAAGTTCACAGTAACAGATTAACATAGGCGATGATAAAAATGAAAAAGAATAAGTATAGAATACAATAATAAAGATTATAGTGATAGGTTGCGTTATTCGAAGTCTTGCTCACCAGTGTAGATCACCAACGTAGATGATCTATGTCGAAATGATTGGAGGCCTACTCGAGTTAGACGTGAATGGTGTGACGAACCAACTAACGTCGAAGTCACACCTCGTGGTCAGCACCTTACGTGGAATACCCCCATTGACGTACCAAGGTACTATAGATGCTTTGAAGACTGTACAACACAAAGGACGTTATTACAGAAATATATTAGTTAAAGTAGATACAAGCGAAAGTAAGACCACTGCCGCATGGGCCAGTCCATGGCGTATGATTAACTAATGCGCGTTGCTTGTACATGACCTTGGCAGGGAGCGATGATCTGTTCGACATTCAGTGATCCAACTGCCGGATGATTTGGCTAGGGCTCAGTGACATTTCACTGGCCCTACAATACTCTCCCACCAGATTCAACGGCCGTTTGAATCGGTACTAAACATGTTGGGAGCAGTCGCGCGCCGGAGAGTGCCAAACGAATATTATAAATTCTCCAGGTATTGCTTATCTGTAAAAGAAATGGAAAGGAGGTGGCAGAAACTGGTCGGGAAACAGCGAGTCATATGTTAGTAGGTCGTTGCTTAAACGTAAATTGATTAACCATAGAAATAATGAAAAGAACAAAACGTTTTATTGTTCTATCAAGTCGCGCTGAAATATATAGCCTTGACAAGTAATTCAGTTCCTCCGATGACATACGTTAAGTCCGTCGCAAGAGTAATGATGCTATAGCGATAGTAGGATAAGTGTATTATCAATCGATGTCCTTGTTTGTACTGTCATTAGTTTAAAGTTGTAAGTCGGACAGTGTCGTTGACAGCTATTAATTAGTGTCAAATTCTAGTTATATCTATATCTAACAGACTAACCGTAAGTACAGAAGTATAACAGTGAAGAGTGGTCGTGATTTCGTTGTGCGAAGCTATTGACCAACTTGTAGTCACAGTTTGAAAAGTCGATGACTGCTGTTACAGTCAGTAAGGGTTGAAGGCTACAAATCGACAGCAAAAGGTGGCACGATGAAGTCTCTAAAAGATGATAAACGGTGAATGCTGCGTGTTTGTTCGGTTAGTGAACAGAAAAATATCGAAAAGAACATAAGAAAACAAGAGTGTCACTCTGGACTCATGTCAATGATACCCGTGAAAAACGCTGTCAGTGTTGGGATAGAGGCGACAATATCGTTTTCAGTTTGTGGGAGATTCGCTCGACTGCATAAACTGATGATTCGCGCGAATGATATTGTCGTCAGACAACCAATTGAACTGGACAGGTTGTAAATCGTCGAGTAGTTGAACAGCCGATTGATGTACCGGAATCATCTGTTAAATAACAGCCACGATGAAACAATACTTCATAAAATGAAGTACGACATCGAAGTAGAACAACTACAATAGTTCAGATGTGTTACAATGTCAAGTCTAAATAACATCGTTCTTACGTATACTGACAGTTGCACTGAACGTTCGCTTAGGTATGATTAGCGTAACAGTTGGATGTGTGAATAAAAACATATACGAAAACTATGGTTGGGTTCGTGGAGAATTTTCGAGGACGTTTAGATATTTTCCAAACCCGTATCGCATGTAAATAAACCGAAAATAGAATTAAAATGACTGTTGTGTAATAAGGAAATCGAGCCATGATTTACCGTGTGAATTATTAGCAAATACAAGGGGTATAATAAACATTAATTAAAATGGTAACCACCAATGTAACTAAGGTTTAGAGGGTCCAGGTAACGTGGCCATTTCGTAAAAGGCTGATACAAAGAGCTTATTACCTAGCGTTAAGTGACATATTAAGTACGACATGTGTACTTGGGACATGGACTAAGCGTGCTCGTGTACATGCAATATGTTTTACCACAGTATGTCGACTAACGAGTCATAAATGTACATGATTTCGACTAAAACTTGACGGCAGTGACAGAATATATGACTAGTTTACGTGAAAGCAACTACGAAATGTTATCACGCATCATAAATATAGTACGAAATAATCTAATGAAATTATGAAACTCGCCTGGGTTACTCTTGCCTCTAAGTAATGAAGATATGAAGTAGGCAGTAGTTTGAATCTGGATTATGTACGAGGTACTGTTGATTAAATTTTTCGATTAACACAGCGTTGTAGACTAACGAACAGTCTAAACGAGATCTAAGATCGCAGGAAATTTATAGTTCAAACTCACCGTGAATTTCTAGCATTCGTATCCTCTGTTTGGCCATGGAACTCAGCAATTGGAAATTAGGCAGGCAGTGGTAAAAAAAGCAGAACATTCTAGTGGATAGTGGTTAAGCAGAAAGATGAATTTATAGTCGATAGTTAATCTTGTCTTATTTATACCAGTGGATAAGGTACAAAGAGATATGCGTTCGTGTTGCCTTGTGGCTATACTCACGAGTGGTTGATATTTTAACAGACATATTATACAGGAGCATTTACATGCTGCTAATGCTTGTTAAAGAACCACGATAGCCGATTATAATCGTAGTTGATTGGTTAGTTCTGTCGATTGAACGAATTATCTAGGTTTAAATGCTAATCAACATTGACATGAAGCAACGAAAGTTCACAGTAACAGATTAACATAGGCGATGATAAAAATGAAAAAGAATAAGTATAGAATACAATAATAAAGATTATAGTGATAGGTTGCGTTATTCGAAGTCTTGCTCACCAGTGTAGATCACCAACGTAGATGATCTATGTCGAAATGATTGGAGGCCTACTCGAGTTAGACGTGAATGGTGTGACGAACCAACTAACGTCGAAGTCACACCTCGTGGTCAGCACCTTACGTGGAATACCCCCATTGACGTACCAAGGTACTATAGATGCTTTGAAGACTGTACAACACAAAGGACGTTATTACAGAAATATATTAGTTAAAGTAGATACAAGCGAAAGTAAGACCACTGCCGCATGGGCCAGTCCATGGCGTATGATTAACTAATGCGCGTTGCTTGTACATGACCTTGGCAGGGAGCGATGATCTGTTCGACATTCAGTGATCCAACTGCCGGATGATTTGGCTAGGGCTCAGTGACATTTCACTGGCCCTACAGTGTGTCCCCAGAAGCGCCATGTATGAGAGATCCGCCACACGTCTTAAGGTCACATGGTTTTCAAGAAAAATAATAAAATATCAAGCATAAATCAACGTAAAAGTACTAATCGATCTGTTCCTGGGAGCTTCGGCCGTCTTCAGTACCTACAGAATCTGGTTAACGAATATCAGCAAACTGAAATAACGGAACACAAGGAACAGGTTTGTACTTGTTAGTTTCTATTGCTCAGATTTTAGCCAATCTTGCTAATTTCTGCTACGACTCTCGGAACGGCCCACAACTTCGTCAATTGCGCGTCATTGATCTCTTTTTTGATTGCATCTTAGAACCATCAAGTGCGTGGTTCAAAGCTGGTAAGTTTAATTATATATATATATAGGCCTTTAATGGCCTATATTTTATCTGGGGTCATCTCAAAATTAGTTTTCTGCTGCCTTTATTTTTATTTTTCCCGTTGAAACCATAATTTACGACCTTTGAGCGACGCTAGTGACTTTGAGCATGTCCACTTACTAAATAGGACTAAATGAGGGCTATAAATCAGTGTGAGGAGTTATTTTTAGGGTTTTCATCACGAAGTGACATCAGCTAAAGTTCCAAAACGCTATTTGGTCGAAATGGATGGGATGCACGCCAAAATTAACACATGTAATCTTATATCTGCTTGGTTCGTCCATAAATTATAGTTTCGCCGTGTTTATGTCGATTCGTCTCTAATATGATGGATGAACAAAAATATGCAGGATAACCTAAACCAGACATGTGTTTGTATTTTTATTGATTGATTACATAATCATGTATTACTTCGTGTCTACCTAAAATGAGGTAGCCAGGGTATAGTTTTACATTGGGTATCATATATTTCATGACAAAAATGTGCTAATGGCTTCATAAAACACACACTCAGCCGCATTACCATTTTTGTATGCGGTTTTCAACGATACATTTTGAAATTAATTCTCATCTGTCTGCACACACATTTGACACATTTATCACAAAAGTTCAGTTCAATTTTCTGACAGTGTACCTTCTTTTATCACTATTACCTATTCTAGTCATACCTTTTATCCAGCATGCATTGTAACATCATGTTCAGAACACTTGTTACTCCTTGCATCATTTTTAGCCCTCCTATTCCGTCTTTCAACGTATCCTGAACTTGCTGCTTTAAAATGTGATACTTCAAATGTCTCAGTATAAGCCAAATGGAAGAAATATTCCACTTGGAAGTGGCATATATTGGTGGAAGACGCTTGACTTCTTATGACGAGATCTCAATACAGATCCAGGACGCTCTTCTTTTGCATTGGTCTTGGTCAATGTTGAACAAACGGTAGGAGGTAATTAACCTCGTTGTCTACTTATCTCAGAATCCTCATTAGCCATAATGAATTGGTGCTTAGCGAAATATCAGCACGGTTTCAGAGAGATTGTCTGGATCCTGGGAACTTGCATCACTCGTAGCATAAACAAAGTGTACATCTAACGACCGAAAGTTTAGCATACAGCTCAGCAGTCCACTATATATTATTATATTGTTCTAAAACAGTCGGCCAAACTAAAATGTGGCATCAGTCCTTGAAGTGACTAACTTCTAGCCTGAGCGATGTTGATAGATGCATACTACTTGGTTGGGGTCCGCGCGACTATCATAACCAATGGTTGGAGACTGTGGATGATATGGCTGAGAATCGATCACAACGGTGTAGATGTACGCACTCTCTTTCTTCCCTTAAACCGTGAGATTAAAATTGCTTTATACCTTTATTTCTACAAATTAATTCTTCCTGTATTATATGCTTATACACAATCTTTCTTTTATATATTACTATCATTGAAGTAACTACTTCTATGAATTTGGTGTTCATCTTGTTGTGTTGATGAGGTGTGGCAACTTGAAATGATGCATATATGTGTCTGGTCCTACGTTGTTAATGACTGATTGACTGACCAGGCTACTCGGCTGGTGTTCCCATAATTATTCTAACCAGTGGGTTGAAACTTTGTGTGGAATGGTTTAGAATTCATCTCAATGGCGCAGGTCCATTGACTCTTGTTTTTCCATATATCCTGAGTTTCGGAATTATGTTGTCTTCTCCTTTGGCCATGTGTTGTACTTTTAGTTTGGCATTTTTTAGGACAGTTAAAATTACTACTTTTGTGTCCACCTTGATAACTTCTCTGTGCTAAGTAGTGTGGCAACTGCATCCTATACACATTTATTCTAAGTTCTACGTTGCTTATGTCTGACTAACTACGTAAAGGACTATAGTGTTTAGCTGAATAGGAGAGATAATCTTTATTACTAAAGATGCATTGTAATAGATTTTGCACATATGAACATATGGTTTTTCTCATTTCGCTAACACTCACTAGTAGTAATCATACGCTATTGAAGATATAGAATATTCTCATTTTGAAGGAACATTGACATTCAAATAATTCTAGTAAAATTCGTTTTATTTATATTGACATATTTTTGTATTTCAGCCTTCCAATCCGGATCAAATTTGAAAGTTGATGAAAGCGAAGCTCGTCTAGTTGAATTTGCTCTTGGAGGTTTATCTAATCTTTCGGCTTCATCACCCCTAAATCGTCAGGAAATTCTCAATCACATACATTTACCGTGTATTGTAGCTTGTGCTACATCTCCAGACTCAACAGTTGTTGTACATTCGCTGACGATTATCATACATTTGTTTACTCGTTGTCCGAATTCAGAAGATTTTATTTCTTTGGGTACTAGGTTTCCTGCTATCATCCAAATAGCTCGTCAGTATTGTGAGTCACGTAGTCGGCAGACAGATATTGATCCTCGAATTCCAATTTTATCACAAATACTACTGGAAGACTGTTGTAATTGCAGTTCTTCTCATTAAAACTTTGTTGTTTCATCCAAATGTCCTTCGTAAAGAAATTTCGATGCTTACAAATCACATTATTTCTTAATACTCATCAATCCCTATCTCTATGCTCGTCTACAACATTTTCAGTACATTCTTATTGTCAGCTGCCTTTAACTACTTTGCCCGAAATTCATAAGAGAAATATAAATGAGAAAGTACTGTCGACCTGTTCTCAACTTAAGGTAGCTTGATTTAGTACTATATATATATATCTGATGATAACTTTTTAAATTATGAATTCCAAACACGTTTTTCGTACTTATTGATCTTTAGGTTGTGTGATCTAAAATCCAGATATTCGGCATTGAGTCTTGACTGAGTTTCACCTATTACCTGCTTCGGTTTGGGCACACGGGCAGTATCACAGCCCCTACACAAATCAAATGAGATTTGTGTGGCGCATATGTATCTAGTGTTCCCTTGTCCAAGTAAATTAGTTGCAAAGTTGTCTTATTTTAAGCATATCTCAATAACTTTGGCTTCATCGACTTTCATAAAATTAAGCTATTATTACAACCATGTGTAATCGGAAGTTCGAAGTTATGTCAGAGTTTAATCTTCAAGGCGGATGAGTTTTTTGAAACACTCTGACTGTGACCCTATGCTTCAGAAAAATGTCGAAAATGTACAACGGGAGATCTTATTCATTTTTCAGAATAATTGCTTCCCAAGCTGTTTTGTGCTGGTACTAGCATACAACGTTCAAGGTGGTATCAGACTAGTATAGATAGTTTACAATTGAAAACATCATCTGGTAAAGTTCGACTCATTGGCTAAATAAAACCTACTGGATGTGAACATTAAGAGTGATTCCTCTTCAAATAAATGATGAGTTTCGTCCGTAGCTACTACATTACTGAAGTGGGGGCTTGCTCATTGTAATTCATTTTATGGCTGGCTTTGGGCAGGTACCCATTAGGCTGTTAGGTTCTCAGGTCAAGGTTTTTAGTACTAATTCGAATTCATTTCAGGTTTTGTTAAGAAATAACCTTCTGAGTATCAGCAATAGAAAAGCGTCGATTGCTCATGTACTTTCATCAAAACTTATGCCTATTTCTCTCGCTATGAATTCTGGTCGTATATCATGTTTTGTGTTGTCGACCTCTCTTTCTGGGACCATCTTCCCCTTATGAAGTTGTTGTTTGCAAATGGAGCTCTCAACAATAGTTTCTTTGGTTTTCTCGACCTGTTCCGAACTGCCTATTGAATCCTTCAATGTTCCGACCACAGATCAAGTTAAACAACAGGTCTCACTAGTTAGAATTCGGTTCCACAAATGTATATCTTGTTTTTAAAACACTCATACAAAATCTAAACCCGACTGTCCAATCGGCCTCATATAGCTAATGGGCTAAGTTTGGACTTCTTTTTCTGTGTTTGAAATGGTGACAATAACAGACAGATAGTAATTTTACGTTACACATATTAATCCCTCAACAATATTTAGCAGAGATGTCTCAAAAATTACAAGGAATCTGTCAGGGGATTTTTACCATTATAGATAAATCATAACATCAATAATCACATGATTTACACTGATAACTATATCAACTTTAAATTTTGTTCAGCTTAACATTACGTTTTGTTCCCAGTATTTTTATCTATACCAATTATTCAAAAGAATTGCAATGTATATTTGAATAGTTTAAAGAGAAAAACGAAGTTGGTCCAGCATAAATGAGATATCCGTCTATCAACTAAGGGACGAGTATATTACAGAGCGGTCTTCCATGTACTAATCTACAGCCACGAAAAGTGGTTTTTAAAGGAAGGAGACAACCATATACGGCAAGTATTTGGTCATAGTTGTCCGTGAAACATTTCTTACCTCTTGCAGAAAAAAATAGAGTGAGCAATGCTGAGGTTAGAAGTAGGACATTAAACAAAGATGTTAAATCGATTGGTGAGGCTGTGAATCTTTGTCGATTTAAGTGGATTAAAGGAGTGTCTAACGTATACACAACTACTATCTATCTAGACTCTCAATGTTGATTGGGATAGAAGTAGGTTGGAAGAAATCTAGAGGTAATCAGATTATGACATGAAATCAACCCACACAACCATTGACTACTAGTCTAGGATATATCATTAGGTGCAAAATCTCTCATTAGGACCTTTACAATACTCATGGTCAATGATTGGAGATGTTGGATAATATTGTCTAGATGAGGTCTCGTTTGCATTCATTGTTTTCCTCGAAATTCAGAATTTAGTGTCACTCTTTGACCGTCCATATTGGGACTAGCTTCTCTCTTTTGCTTATCAATTTCATCGCTAGCTTTCTTACGTGGTGTGCGATAAATCGAACTTAAATATATTCGTGCCACAATTCCCACATTATTAATGATTGAGGTAAATCAATCTGTATACTATAGTATGTTTATTATAGTGTTGAAATACAATTTATTAAATCAATAATATGCTACAAATCTTGTAATTTGTATAACCATAAAGCATCTTGTCTTTCGCTGAGCATAATTTACGAATGTCACATAACTACTGAACAAATTTTCCTAGTTCTTATACCATCAGTTTACTTTTAAATTATTAATTACCTCTATGTTTTAATGTATCTCCATTATTCTAGAGTGATAAACTTGATCTGAATCCACAGTCTGAATCACTACCATATCAGTTACCTGGTTCATTAACTGATCAAAGTAAGCAATACTAAAAGAATACGATCTGAAAGTTTTAACTCTACCTAATTTATGTCTATTTTAGCATGCTATCGTTTATTTAATAACGTTTAACGGATCACATATCAAGGAAATTTTAATAATCGATTTTATTATGTTCCTCGCTTATGACGAAACTAGTCAAGACGTAGGATTTAGGACAAATATAACTCATTTGTCAACTACAGGCCTACATCATCCGCTTTGACCACAATTTATGTGGTACCTTGTGATATCCAGCTTAACACATCAGTGTGAATCGGGGATTGAACCCGTAGCTTCTTAAAAATTTAAGGTCGTACTACACATTATCACATCAAAATAAATCAAATAAGTTGAAAGAATTATAGTATCGATAAAAGTAAAAAAGAAGCAGGCGTTTGAGAGAAGCTGATAAAATATGCTAGCGATTAGCATGAAATAATGTAAAAACTTGAGATTTAGAGTGAGCTAAAGATTAAATATATCTGCAATACTCTTGCTGATGTTTAGTTTGATTACTCAACCTTACAGCTATCTTGTGAACCCTAACCAACAGATCTACGCCCTCTGATATTTTAGCGAACGACAACATAAGTGGGGACAATGAAATGTATTTGAACACAAAATCACAGAATCTCTTAGTAAAATCTGAAAACGATACAGTAAATTATTCATCTGCAAAATGTCAATAAATTGTCTCAGACTTCATTGTTCATTTGTTTCCACACTAATCATTCTCGTTCTCTTTCCCCCGATCTTAATATTCTACCACCAGGCATTCCACTTTCCATTGATGATACATACTACTTATATCTATCGACATCAGTAGCTCACACCACAATATGACTCATTCCAACACTCATTGAGCCTAAAACAGAAAATGACTTTCTAAACTATATAAGACTGTAGAACATATATATTCACAATTTATCTGCTGAGACAACTAGCTTCTGACAATCTTGGTGTTTGTTGGGACAGTGATATTTTTTAAATCTAGTCAAACATAATTGTTTCGAATACATTTACCATAGCATTGTTAGCTGTGTATAAAGTCTCGTTTTGTATCTGTCGGTTTTCCACTCTCAACTTTTACTTACTGCCATAAATACCACTGGTGTTTATACAGTTTCTTTCCTGTTGTTGGTAGTTCTCTATTCTTATAACGTCGAAGTATTTTAGATTGATTCAGTACACACTATTATACCATGTTTTATATTGTATCTGTCTTTCCTGGAGCCCAATCTTAATATTTGCTGGTGATTTGTTTGCCTAATCAAAATTATAATTATTAATTGTTCAAGGTTTGTTTTATGTTAAAAGAGATATCAATGTTTTTGGTAATGTATGTTTGTTTACCAGCAGATACAAGTACTGTTGATGTAGAATGTAAAAATCACTTTTGCACAGCTGAAAAATCCCAATCACTTGGAAGCACTTCAGTTAATAAATGGGCTTCTAGTCCTCTAGTAACATCGTCATCATCATTCTCACCATCAACACCATGCCCAACTACAGTGGACCTGGTTTTAACTCAACCACCTGCTGTCCTACTTTTCAAACATTATGCATCAATTGCTGCAGGTCTTTCAAAGGCTCGTCTTACAGGTTTAGTTGTTTCAACTGCTTTAGTCGGTTGTGGCTTAGCAGCATCTACTAGTATGGTATCACCTGAATTCCTAGAAAATTGTTATTCGACTACAATTTGTTTAGCTCTTGGAACTACACTAACCAGTTCTGCTGCAAATTCAATCAATCAAGTAAGATATATTTAGTCAAATTCTTTTGTGTCCTTAATAAAAGATCAAAACTTTGTTTTGTGTTTTTAAGTGCTTGAATCTTATCATTAAATTTCTGCCGTTCGAGCAAATCGATCCGAATTTCTACATGATGGAATTAGAGGAGCCGGGAAAATCGAAGTGATTATCCTCGCAACTTCATCAGAAAGGTGTATAAAAAGTTGGTACACCAGTACGAAATCATCCACAAGTGACAAATAAGTTACATGTGCCCACAGAAAGTGGTGTTGGTTGGTAAACTTGAGGTTAGGAACACTAAGCATGAACTACCAAAAAGACCACCAGTATATTCAATAAACGTTCGACAGTAGGATCTGTCTGGGTAGCTAGTGTCGTATGGAGAAGGGTTGGTGACGTGATTTGTGAAGCTAATGTCCAAAGGAAATGTCTGACTTAATACATGAACCACGTACGACCAGGAGGGCATGCATCAATTACGGAGTCACCTGAACCCAACCTATCATTGGGTTGCCTTGTTGTTACAGCTAGTCAGGACCAACAAATTCGGAGCAACAGA